TCATATAAGCCACTATTACACTAGGTTTGTTGTACAGATAGTTACACTTATCTTCTAACTGATTTGTAAGGTTGGCTGCTTTTGGTCCAATCAGCTAGGGCTGAGAGGAGAGAGGGCATGTGGTAGAGAATACAGCCCTACCAGCTCAAAGAACAGCTGAAAGGAGCCTCCCCCCAACCAACCCCCTCCATAGCAAGAGCTATGGAATGGACAGTTTTTTTTTTAAAAAAACTGTTGTATATGAAAGGCACCACTTGTCTGGAACACCAGGGTATACCTTCCTTTTGTTAACCAACCCCATCACAGAAATCCCCCTTCTTTTGTTACCAAATCAATGGTCAATTCTCAGTCTTCCTCTCACTTCATCTATCACCAGCGGTTGATAAAACTGACTACTCCTTCCTCCTGGAAAAACTCTGGTTTTCCTCCTTGACTGGTGACTCCTTCTCAGTTTCTAAATAGACTCCTCTTCCTTCTCCCCAGCCTTGAAACCAGTGATTCTCAAACTATACCATGATCAGAATCACCTGGAAGACTTGTTAAAACACAGTGCTGAACTCTAACCTTATTTAGGATTCTGGGGTGTGGCCTGAGATTTTGCTTTTCTAACAAGTTCCCAAGGGCTGCTGAAGCTGCTCATTTGGGAACCAACTAAATGTTGGAATGTCCCAGAGACCAATCCTTGGGCGATCTTCTTTTTCTGTGAACACTTACTTTTTAGTAATCTTGTTCAGTCTAGATGTTCTAAATACCATCCAAATGTGATCAATTCCCAATTCGTATCTCTAACATGGGCTTCTCCTCTGACCTTGAGTTGTCTCCTCAATCTCTTTACTTGGATGTTTAATAAATATCTCTAATATAGGATGTTCAAAACTGAACTTTTGATGCCCTTCCTCCCCCCAATGCCATAACTCTTCCTCCTATAGTTTTCCCTACTTCAGTAAATGGCAACTCATCCTTCTAGTTGCTCAGTCCAAACACCTTGGGGTCATCATTCTCTTTATCTCACAACCCACATCCAGTTCCTCTGCAAATCCTGTTGGCTGTACTTTCAAAATACACGTAGAATCTGACCACGTCTCGCCATCTCCACCGCTGCCACCCCAGTCTAAGCACCCATCAACTGTTGCCTGGATCACTGCAAATGCCTGCTGACTGGTCTCACTCCTACTCTTGCCCTATACATACTATTCTTAACACAATTGCTCTCCAATCTCAAAACAAAGCCAAAGTCCTTACAGTGGCCCACAAAGCCCTGCAAAATCCACACACACTAACTCTCTGATCTCATCTTCTACCACTTTCCCCTCATTTGTTCTGCTGCAGCCACACTGAGCTATCATTCAATTGAGTGAGGCATGCTTCCACTATGGAGCCTCTGCGCTTCTTCCTCTGCCTGGATAGACGTGATGGGTGGATATCCCCCAAGTATCCACATGGCTTGCTCTCTCACGTCCTCCAAGCCTTTGTTCTCCTTGTGAAGACTTCGCTGACCACTTCATTTTTTTCCATAGTACTTACCTCTTTCTAACGTAATTAATTTTGTTTATTGGGTATCTCCCAACACACATAGACCACAGATTAAGCTCCATGGGAGGAGTATCCCAGAGTATTTACTGCTACTTAGATGATCAATAACTGAGTATACTCTTTTCTGTGCTTGTAGAGAAGGTGTAAATGCCTGAAACTAACATTGCCCTCATTGTTTTTCTTGGCTTTCATTTGTGTGCTTTTGGAAAACCTGGACTTCCTTCATAACCCTACTTTTATTTACAGAGGCCCTACTTTAATCATGTAGCCCTGGACACTACCAGCTGGCCCAAGCACATAAATTGGTGTTCCACAGTAGAGTGGAGTTGGAACACTTTAAGATATAGTCTCTTAAGGGTTTTCCTAAATTTAGTGAGTGCTTCTGTTTCCTTCTAGTCTGTCTTTGTGTTTGTCACAACATCTCACTAGGAAAGCATCTTTGCATTCCTTTGAAGCTACAGTGCCTTGAAAGGCCATTTACTTTGAGATGAAAATTGATATGCAGAGTGACAAACAAGGAATCCTTTAGTCACCACAGAAGAGGGCAAAACTGAAAATGTAAAGGTGGATTTGGGTGGCAAACAGGTGGAGGTCTCAGGGACATGAGATTCAACAGAAGAGAGAGGTGCTACAGGTCTCAGGTAGGGAGAGAAGAAGGCAGACTTGAGGCAGGTAATCAAACTTGGCGGGAAAAAATAGCAAAGGCAATAAATCAGGCATGAGTGTGTGCCTAGTCAAGTTACATGTTACTTTTGGGCCTGTGCACATACCCTCAGCACTTTGCTCTACCTCAGCTGCCTGAGCCTATGAACCCACTCAGACATTTGATTGCACCAGCTTCAGCTGGGCAGTTATCTGCTTGGGAGTGCCAGTCTCTCCCCCTTGCTTGCCACAGGCCAAACTGCACAGCTCAAGTTTCTGGTTCCTTGCACCACTTCCAGGCTTGCTGAAGTGCCACACAGTGGGCTGTGGGATCTGGCCTCCCTAGGGGTGGCTGGATGAAGCAACCTGAAAGTATGAGGGAAACAGGAGGAATCTGATCAGATAAATTCCTTCTGTTTCTCTTTGCCCATCAACTTTAACAGAAATTTCCTTTGGCTGTGAATATAGTGGTTAAATACATAAGGGTTTATTCTCTCTCATGCAAGATCAGAAGTAGGCAGTCCAGAGCTGGTATGGAATCTCCATAAGATCATCAAAGAATCAGATGTCTTCTGTTTTTCTCCTTTCCCATCCTTCAGGCATGACTTAGATCCTCAAAGTCACAAGATGGCTGCTGGAATTCCAGCCACTAAATCCACATTCCAGGTAGAGAAGAAGGGAAAGGCAAAGGCAAAAGGAGGTTTCTTAGATATCCCTCCCTTTTAAGGTGCCTTTCCAGAAGTCTTATCCAACAAATTCCAATGATATCAACATATCATTTGTCTGGTATGTGATATATCAGTATACTTGGCTTGACATTTGATATATCCGTATTTCATTGGCCTGACTAGATATACCTCACTACAGGAGAGGCTGAGCAATATAGTTGAGCACTCTGTTGCTCAGAAGAGACTTGGATTTCCTATTGTTAAGAAAGAAAAGAAGTATGACTACAAGTTAGGCAACTAACAGCTTCTGCCACAGTAAGCATTAATCAATGCTTATTATCAACACTTTGGCTTTTGCAAGTTACTTAATCATGAGGTTCTGTAAGATGGCTCAGTAAGTTGAACTACTGATCCTGGGATATTTGGTCAATTGCTTCTTCTGCATACTTTGCACAGGTTTTAGACATATGTGTGATGGCAAGGAATCCACATTTTTACCTGATACCTATGGCATGTTTTATAGTTTGGGCATCATACAAGGGGACAGATCTTTGATCATCATGGGGACTGATTTTTTGTGGTCTCTGCTACTGGGCTTCACTATAACTCCATTTGTCCTAACCAAGGTTCCAGATTCCTGTCCATTAACAAGGTGAAAGAAGAGAGTGCCATGCTAATTCTCTACCCTTCATCCATTATAATACCAATATGGTATAAGAAACTGAAACAACTGTGCTTTTTTTAAGAAAAACCAAACATCTAGATGTGAGGAACCTGTCCTCCTCCTCATCTAAGTGCTTGTGTTCTCTCAGCTGCTCCCTGGAATTGTTGCTTTATTACTAAGGAGGAATTCTCAAGATGTAGGTGTGAGGAAGCCAATCTACGTCTCCACTATGTAGGTGTGGATAGGACAGTCTGCATTTTGGTTTCACAGATACTGATGTTCTGGCAAGAAGGACATCATGTCTAATAGGATGTGGTGGCCTGGGTCCCAGTTACATTCTCATGTCCGCTGCTTTAGTACCGAAGGATGACTACTCATGGATGAGTTATGCCTGGAGTTAACTTTGGCTTTGTGATATTGAGACTAGACATAGCACCATCTCCTGGTTCATTGTAGCTGACTTCTTCAGCCTGGAACCCCACCCATCTGCCATGGCTACAGCCGGCTTGCAACTGGACTTTGAACATTTGGTGTGAATATTTTTCCCTTCAGCAATTATACGCGAATACATTATGAGAAAGGGAAGGTGTTGTGTCCAGGGTATGGATGGAATGGCAAAACCAGGCTAAGGAATTTTAGTTATCAATGAGATTAAACAAACATAAAACAAAAATACAACCATTAACCTAGAAATAAGGGTGATAGGTTAGTCTACTAGAGCCCAAAGGTCAGGTTAGAGCCAAAGTTCAGGGAAACTAAGGATCCTGAGGGAAGAACAAGGGCATACCCAAACCAGGGCTCCAGAAACCTCCAAGAGTGGATTAAGAGCTAATAGGGCAGTTATAGTGAAGGTATTTATAGTCCTACATACATATTACCTTCATGTTAATTTTCTTACTGAAGTTTCTAGTTCTAGAAAGTACTTTTGACTGGGGACTCAAGTTCTCATGACTAGACAGGTATTCATTCATTGAGAAAATATGTAATAAGTGGCAGGCACCACACTGGGGACACAGCAGTGCACAGATATGAAATAGTTCCCATTCTTATGGAATGGTCCAGAAATAAAAAACAATTATAAATAAATAAATAAATAACATATGATGCTTATCTTAGGGTCCCCTTCAAACACTTACAAAACATATTGATTGGAGAGCTTCTGACCAATCTGGGGATCCTCAGAGTATTATACTAAGTATGAGGCATCCAAGGGGAAGTCTACGGCATGGTCCATTAAGACTATTTACTGAGACTCTAGTATCAAATGGAGGCATGAGAATAAGCAGCAGTTAGAAGGTGCTCGAACACAAATCTTCATTATCTTGCACAAAAGTGGCTTAAGTTCCTGTGGGGGTCCCTTGCTGGGCTGAAGCACCTCTGTGATAGTCTGAGGCCCACCTGGCATAACGTCGCTGATGCTGGATGATAGAGGACTTGCAACTGAACACCTTCCCACACACGCTGCATTCGTAGGGCTTCTCTCCAGTGTGCACTCTCTGATGCTGAGTAAGCGGTCTCTTCTGGAGGAAGGCTTTCCCACATTCGGTGCATTTATAGGGCTTGTCTCCACTATGAATTTTCTGATGCTGATTAAGGGATGAGCGGTCAAAGAAAACTTTCCCACACTCATTACATTCAAAACGGGTCTCTCCGGTGTGTACTCTGCGGTGGCGAATGAGGGAGGAGCGGTCAAACAGGGCTTTGCCACACCCCCTGCATTCATAAGGCCGCTCTCCAGTGTGAGTGAGCTTGTGGCGAGCGAGGATGCTTTTCTGGCTAAAGGATTTCCCACATTCTGTACACTCGTAAAGACTTTCTCCAGTATGAATTCTCTGATGGCGGGTAAAAGATGAGCGGACAAAGAAACCCTTGCCACATTCGTGACATTTAAAGGGCTTCTCTCCGGTATGAGTTCGCTGATGTTTGGTAAGGGTTAATTGGTCATAGAAAGTTTTCCCACATTCATTGCATTCAAAAGGGCTCTTCCCAGTGTGAGATATCAGGTGTTTCTTAAGGCTACTTCTATAGCTGAAGGCTTTCCCGCACTCTGGACAGTTATAGGGTTTCTCTCCAGTATGGGTCCTTTGATGACGAGTGAGGGATAAGTGGTTATATAAGGTCTTCCCACATATGCTGCATTCAAGGTTTCTCCCCTTACTGTTGGTTTTCTTGGCAGGAGTGGATCTTTGCGAGTCTTCCTTGGGGGAGGATTTCTTCAAAGTCTCCCCTGAAAGATGTTCTTTCTTGGTGCCCTCATGGTTTTCTGGGCCAAGTACAGGACCCAGAGGGCCATCTTTTCTGAGTGTTTCCATTAATGTCTTTTGTGACTTTGCTTTTTTAGAAACATCCTGCCTTTGAGTTGAGTCCTGGCTCTCAAGTCTAGCATTCTGGTCTAAAACAAATAGAAATTACAGATATAACTGGGTCTTAATATTAGTGAAAAAAAGAACATTATCTATGTTAAGAAAAGAATGAACAGGGGCGCCTGGGTGGCTCAGTCATTTAAGTGTCTGCCTTTGGCTCAGGTCATGATCCCAGGGTCCTGGGATTGAGCCCCACGTCAGGCTCCCTGCTCAGTGGGGAGTCTGCTTCTCCCTCTCCCTCTGCCTCTCCCCCTGGCTTGTGCTCTCTCTCACTCACGCTCTTTCTCTCTCAAATAAATAAATAAAATCTTAAAAAAAAAAAAGAAAAAAATGAATACAAAATACTGCCTGGTTTATTGATAACTCCTCAAAAGAAAAACATCACAGAGAGGCTGAAAAATGGCAGAGGAGAAGAGAAGAACAGAGAAGAGAAGTAGAAGGTGCATAATTAGCCCACCAAACAAGCTTCTGTTGTTCATTCATTAGATATTCACTAGGTGCCTACAAAGTGCTAGGTACAGTAGAAGTCACTGGGACTCTATTGAATAAGAGAGGCATGGTCCCTGCCATGACAGAAGACAAAGAGTAAACAAATAAAATGTAACAGATATGGTAAGTCCAGTGAAGGAAATAATGAATGGAAGTTGGAGTGGGGTTTTCTTTAGAGGGAAAACTTAAGAATGGTCATCTGGAAGATATGTTAACCATGCGAACAACCAAAAGAAGAACATTTCAGGGAGGGGTACATGCAGAAAAACAGGGGATACACAAAGAAGCATGGAAATGACTGGGCAGTTTATTACATGTCAGTGAGTTTAAACAGCAGAGAATAAGTGGGAAGACCAGCTAGGACCTGAGAAAGTGAACTGTCAATGACAATGGTTTTTAAAGGAAGAGGAAGAGATGTGGTAAAAGGTAAGTAGGAAAGATAAAAAAGTATTATCAGAGTTAAATACAAATAGGTCTCAACCCTCCCTCAGCCTCCTCTCCCAAAACCCCCAACAGGTGGGACTTTGATACCTGTTTGTTCATCTGACAAATACCTGAGTGTGTGCTATGTACCAGGTACTGTTCTAAACACTGGGGATCCAGTAGTGAACAACATAAAACCTCTGATGGAGTTTACATTTTCATCAGGGTAGGTATAGACAAACATGAAACAAAATAAAGAAGTAAAAATATAGTATGTTAGGAAGACACACTTGAGAAGAGAGCTAGGTAGTGCAGGGAAGGAGGAAAGAGATGGAGAGAGTTCAATTACAGATAGGGTCGTCAGGGCAGGCCTGACTGAGAAGGCAGCTCATTTGAGCAAAAACCTGAAAAAGGTGACAAGAAAGCCACGTGGCTACCTGGGCATAAATTTTCCAGACAAAGACCCAGTATAGAAGTGACCCTCTCTATAGGCCTATGACTAGCACAAGGAGTGGTCTCTAAGTGAACTGTCCAGCGAAATCCCATCTACCCAGTTCACACATACCTAGAAAAGTGCTTCCTGGGACATCACTTTCTTCATCTTCCTGAAAATCAAGTTTCCATGGCTCTTCACCTCTCTTCAACTGGAAAATCACATCAGGTTTAGGAACTAGAAGTCCTGCTCACAAAGGACAAAATGAGAAATGGCTGTTTGGGATAGAAATTCACAATTATCCCAGGGTTTAATAAGATCCCCTTACTCTCTAGAGAGGAAAATGGAAGTATCCCAAAAGCATATGCTAATTTCTAAGATAAGATGCTAATTCTCCTTCTCTGAAGGGAAGTCAGTACTGACTTTCTAGAAAGTCTGAATTAGATCTATTGAAGTAGTTCACTAATTTTTCTCTAATCTAGGAACCTCCCCCAGATGGAACGAGTATTCTTGTGAGCTGAGGGGAAATTCTTAGCTTAGAGAAGTGGAATATGGAGAAGGTTCTGCACCTCAAGGAACTAAGGTGAAGAAGCTATCCCATTTTCTTTTGTAGTTTTTTAAATAATAGATTTGTATCCCTTAATTATACTTCTGTGCAATTATACTGAATTTGGTGCAACTACAACTCAAACTAGAGCAGTTTAAGAAATATTCAACTTATGTGCAGTTAATATGAAACACTTAAAACTGAAAACATTAATAAACAATTTTTTAGAAATTCTTAAAAAGAAAAATTATAATGTCTTTGGTTTTTAATGATTTAAAGTAGTGACATTTATAAATGTCATATATATATAAATTTATTTAGTGACAAATATAAATTTTCTACATTTAGTTTTTAATTGCATTATTAAATGTTTAAGCATACAAAAGGCATAAAGACTAAAACAAACAACTATGAACCCATCTAACTTAATAAACATTAGTACTAAGATTGAACCCCCTCCCTCATCCCCTCTTCCTCCCCACCATGAGGCAACCACTATACTAACTTTGGTGTTAATCACAATGCATTTAAAAATGTTTCCTCATCTTTGTAGTTTTATTTATTTATTTTTATTTTTTTAAAGATTTTATTTATTTATTTGAGAGAGAGAGAGAATGAGAGATAGAAAGCACAAGAGGGAAGAGGGTCAGAGGGAGAAGCAGACTCCCTGCTGAGCAGGAAGCCCGATGTGGGACTCGATCCCGGGACTCCAGGATCATGACCTGAGCCGAAGGCAGTTGCTTAACCAACTGAGCCACCCAGGTGCCCCTCATCTTTGTAGTTTTAAAAATATTTCATGTTCAGGGTGCCTGGGTGGCTCAGTCAGTTGGGTGTCCAACTCTTGATTTCAGCTCAGGTCATGATCTCAGGGTCGTGAGATCGAGCCCTATGTCAGGCTCTGTGCTGAGCATGGAGACTGCTTGGGATTCTCTCTCTCCCTCTCCCTCTGAGGCACACCACCCCCCCTCCGGCTCATGCACAGACACACACTCTCTCTCAAAAAAAATTTTTTTTAATTAAAAAAAATATTTCATGTTCATTGTAGACAATTAAGAAATATATAAAAAAAAGAAAAAGTTACCTGTAAGCCTACTAGTCAAAGATAATTAGGAGTAAAATTTTGGTGTAGATTCTTCCAGACTTTTTCTATGCATATAGATATATGTTGTAAATGTACTCAGGTTCCAATCATTTCATATACTGCTTTTATCATTTAACAGGATATCATTAATATCTTTCCAACTCTATAAATATCATTCATGGTCAAGGCCCATGTGGGTGTACAACGTACTCCATTATGGATGTACAATGATTCATTTACCTAAATCCCTATTCCCAAGTGCCTGCGTTGTTTCCATTGTTTTACAATTTTAGGCAAAACAGAGATAAACATTTATCTGATTTCCCCCCCTTATTGAAAATTCCCAGGAAAGGGGGTACCCATTTTCCATTTTATATAATTTTTTGCTTAAAGCTAGGGTCTCAGACCAAACTTCACTTATCCTACAGATTCTATCCAGATCAAAAAGGCCATTTACTGACAGTACTGACAGCTATTAGTTAAACACAAACAACAAAAAATAAATAAACCACTTACACCCTTCCTGGGGATCTATCCAAAGATGTACAATTCTGCCCCAGTAAGAAAAGAAGGGCCATCTTCTTTACACACACACCCAATGGCAGATTCTGAGTCACCAAGGAAAGTCATGCTTACCCAAAGAAACAAAACCCTGATAGCTCTCCAGCATCACCTCCCTGTAAAGAGCCCTCTGAGTAGGAACCAGTTGCTTCCACTCATCCTTTGAGAACTTCACAGCCACATCCTTAAACTTGAGTGACTTCTGAAAAGACAAACATGTTCTTACTCACCTATGTGTCTTCTTTTATGTCTAAGTAAGAGAAAAGAATACAGCACCGGAGGATATATGGAACAAAAAAGAAATGATTTTAATGATGTAAGAGCACTGGATATTTTACATAAGAGGTGCAGGTCTGAGGGGCACCTGGGTGGCTCAGTCAGTTAAGTGTCTGACTCTTGATCTCAGCTCAGGTCTTGATCTCAGGGTCGTGAGTTCAAGCCCTGTGTTGGGCTCCACACTGGACATAGAGACTACTTAAAAAAAAAAGGGGTACATGGGTGGCTCAGTTGGTTAAGCGTCTGCCTTTGGCTCAGGATTGAGCCCTGCGTTGGGCTCCCTGCTCAGTGGGGAGCCTGCTTCTCCCTCTCTTTCTGCCCTCCCCCTTGCTCATGCTCAATTTCTCTCTCTCTCAAATAAATAAGTAAAATCTTAAAAAAAAAAAAAGAGGTACAGGTCTGTGACCTGAGGCATGAAACTCTTGCTGATGGCCTCATGTCATATCCATGGCAGAGCCTCCAAACTTTAGGGACACTGTTATTAGCCTCAATTTTTTTTGTAAAGATTTTATTTAGTTATTTGACAGAGAGATAGAGAGCACAAGTAGGCAGAGAGGTAGGCAGAGGGAGAGGGAGAAGCAGGCTCTCCGCTGAGCAAGGAGCCCGATACAGGGTTCGATCCCAGGACCCTGGGATTATGACCTGAGCCAAAGGCAGACGCTTAACCGACTGAGTCACCCAGGCACCCCTAGCCTCAATTTTTTAAATGATTAAAGATCATCTAATCTAATTCTTTAATTTTAATGCCCTTTCAGCTCTAACACTCATGGATCCAAGAGGATCTCAGCCTGAACAACTGATTCTCAAGTCAAGGGAAGATCCATGATAAGTGTACGAGGAACAGAAGATACTTTTCAGAACTAAAACTGGAGAAAAAAGATAAAAAAATATGGTGTCCCCTTGAAAGGAATATAACATTCCAGACTAGAAGATTCAGAATTTTTATATTCTCATGAGAGTTCTCTAAGCACTCCCTGAGCTCACTGCTAAGGGCAGAGCTGCCTCAATCCTCTGGTCCCCAGCCATTACAAAAGACATGATGGGGCCGGTCACCAAGGCGTTATGAAGGGCCATTCAGAAGGAAGATCCCTACAGCTGTGTTGTATGGTGAGAAAGAAGAGAATGTGAAGCCAGCAAATGCACTCGTCTTCTCTACAGAGCCCAACTTTTACCATAATGGGATGAATCTCCAAGGCTTGCAAAGAAGCTCCGGACTGAAGAAAATCCAACTCACCTGCCATCTGGCTGCCATTCTCTCCTCCTCTATGTTCTCTTGGAAAAGGCCCATGCCAGGGTTGGCAGAGCTAGAGGAAACATGACAGAGACCAATTACATTTTGTAGTTCTCTGACCCAGACTAAAAATCTCTACATATCAATTAGGTATGAAACAGCCCTTAATCTCAATACTCCATGAAGAGCAAAGCAAGCCTAGAAGTAAATTCGTTTCCCAGGAGATGGAAATTATGGATATTGCCATAACTCTGTTCCTGAGTTAGCAGCTTCCTGGGAACAGAACCCACACCAGAAAACTATTAAAAAATCAAACAGTTTACAATGAAGTTAGTTTTTACCCCGTTTCATAAATCTATAATAAGCATTGTACTCTGTAGTATTTTGACATAAATAAGCAATTTAATAAATAACCCAATTTGACTTTTAAGTTCAAGATGACCAGAAGGATGCTTATACTAACATTTTTTTTAAAAGCTAACGTGAATGGGGAGCCTGGGTGGCTCTGTCAGTTAAGCGTCTGCCTTCAGCTCAGGTCATGATCCCAGGGTCCTGGGATCAAGCCCCATATCAGGCTTCCCTCCTCAGTGAGAAGCCTGCTTCTCCCACCCCTCTGCTTGCTGCTCCCTCCACTTGGGCTCTCTCTCTCTGTCAAATAAATAAATAAAATCTTAAAAAAACAAAAAATAAAGCTAGTGTGAAGCCTATATGATCAAGAATAAAAAAGTAAAAGCAAATTAGTTTATTAGTGTATTAGTCAAGTTTTGTTTCATTCTAAGGACCAGAAATACATTCAAGCCAACTCAGGTGTTATTTTTAGGGTACAGTGGGCATTATAAGAATACTGTAATTAAACAGCATCTAGGCCTCATGACATCTGTGGCCCTTACCGGGATCTGAAGAGCACTGGCCTCCTGTCCTAATTCCTTCCTGATTGCCAAAGTTTCAAGAAAGTGACCGGGTCTCATCCAACCAAGAAACAGAGTCAGACACCAAATTCTAGAATTTCCAGCCAGTTTCTTTAGGGTCATTTTTTTTTTTTTGGTAGAGTCATTTTTTTTTAAGTTTATTTATTTATTTTTTAGTTTATTATTTCTACACACAACATGGGGCTTGAACTCACAACCCTGAGATCAAGAGTTGCACACTCCTCCAACTGAGGCAGGCAAGCACCTCTGTTAGTCATTTTTAAAGTTTCCATAGAACTAGGAGGCTATATGCAAAATGACACCCAGATATTCAATGGTGAGTTCAGGACTGAATACAATTGCTTCTCCTGCAGGAGAAACAGGGCAGCAGGACCAACCAGGATGGATTGACTGACCACTGCCCTTGCAGCATTGGCTGGCATCACAGAAGACCATGGGAAATAAAGGATTAGCTAGAGAGCTAGAGTATCCAGAGTGTAATGGTCACCTGCAGAGGCAGATAGGCCCCACCCAAAGTTTGGTTCCAATATTGAGAATGATGATGCCACATAAACACAGACCAAGAGTATGAAAATGTTTATTACTTACGTAACTGAGGTCTCTGGGAGAGACCAGGGTAGGTCTCTCAAGCAGGCCCAAAATGGCTTGAGAGAGTGAGGAAAGGAGACTGGCCTGGGTCTCTTTTATTGTGGTTAGGGCCAGGGTGAGTGGTCCCATGCCCACAGGAAGGGAGTTGTGTGATGTGAATCTCTTGCCAATGCCCAGGGAGAGAGCATTCAGGCTTCCTTATCAGCTTGTCCAGGTGTGGGACACAAGGGGAAGGAGGGGTGAGTCTTAAAAGCTGTCAGCAGTCAAATATCAAAAAACGAAGGCAGACTACACAGCATAACTATACATCTGGAACAGGATGAAGAATCTCTGTCCTCTTCTTTCCAATCCTACTCATCTTTGGGCCTGATATGGAGACAACCTGTGACATAACAGTACCTGGAAGACATGAGAGATAACAATATTCTCAAGAGAAAAATTCATTCATCTGACAGAAGTTTTAGTCAGGGGAAGTAAAAAACCCTTCCAGAAGTGGAGCCAGGAACAATGGTCTCCCCAAGCTTGCCCACAGAGAATGCTATAACAATATTCTGTCAGGGATTTATTACAAAAGTTGTTGCAAGATGGAGTCAGTACCAGTAGGGAGGATTGAAGAGTAGAAAAAGAACGGGTAAAGGGATCCATCAGTGCTCATCGGAGGCTGATTCCATATAATACAATCCATATGATCCAGTGCGATAAATCCTACTTGGCACCATCTTCTGGATTCCAATTATGATTGTGATCCACTACCAATCAGATTTTACTTTTTTCATTAATAGACTTGTGTACCCCGCTGGATATTGAAGGATGACAGCACTGCATATCTTTACCTCTTGCTCTTAAGAGCTCTACATAGAGAACCTGTATATGCCACCTTGGATATTTAGAATGGCCAATAGCAAGATTATATTTATAATTTCTGTGTATGCAGGCCATCTGACATGTGCATAGAGGCGACCACAAATGAGAATGGTGCTGAAACAAAAGGTACTCTCTCAAGCCATCAAGGGCTAAATGGGTCTTACATCTTTTCATCCCCCAAGAGAATGTTCTCAGAGGAATGTTCTCAGAACATTGTCCTCTGTACAGATAAGGTTCAACAAGTTCTTTAACTCCCAGCCCTCCTGGGCTTACTGATCCAACACCCACAATTAACTGGCCATGGTCTCTGTGTTTCCTACTTAGAATTCTCAAGGCCCTATCGGTTGTTAGCCATTGAGAGACTAATGACCTTAGATCATGTTTCCACCTCTTGCCCACTCAGCCATTCCCAAGGAGCACAAAGAGCAGTTCTCAGAGAAAGGGACTATGGCCAGGACAGGCCCACTACTCTACATAAAGTAATTTTCTTAGTAGTTCTACTTCAAGGTGAGTGACAGGCAACAAGCAGCAGCTATTGTTCTGTCTCTTGAGCTCTGCCAACACTTCACTCTTTTCAAGGAAATAGCTTCACCCACATCCATACAATAATAAAAACTGACTCCATTTCCTGGCCAAAGCTGACTGGCATCTGAACAAATTAGTCCTTCCCATGGAATTTTGGAAGTGGAACCAAGAAAAAGAGATCAGTCTCTTCTCATGAGGCTCCACTTGAGGGCCCTTGACAGTCACATTTTGTCAAGCCATCTGAGAGCAGAAAAAGCCAGTCAGCAGTGACAGGGAAATATGAAACATAAGGGCATACAGAAGAAGGGGCAAGGGGTTAAGGGAGGGTCCTGAATTTGTTTTGTTCCAGTTTACACACCTGTAGTCTTTTCTTTGGGGCTCCATGACCTAACCAAGTATCCTCAAAATGAACCCCCCCATACTAGTTTGAGCTGGGTTCCTGTAATTTGCAACCCAGAGACTCAGACAGGTAGCAAAGGCAAGCTTCTACCTTCCTCACCTAAGGTTTCATTCTTCATGTTCTGCTACCAGACCTCTCCTCTTAAGAGCTCTTTAGAGTCCTGGGGGTACATAGAGGACACAGCATCCAATGTGCCTCACAGAACCAAAAGGTGATATTAATCTTAAGATGCCCACCAGTGTCATTAAAATAAGCTATGGATGCTTCCAGCCAAGCCTATATACTCTTTTCCAACCTACAACCAAATGGATCCACATCACAAAACAAAGAGTCAGGGTCTTTATCTACTTTGAACTCTCAGATTTCTGATTCAATCACCTAGTATATAAGTATCTTTGTATCTTTATCTTTCCAAGTAGGTGGTAAATCTTGGGAGCCACATCTTGCTTCCCTCACACCAAGAAAGCTACTTCCACATAGTTAGTACTCAAGAACTATTTGCAGACTAACTGAAATACCAAGTTTTGCACGAAAGTCTGGCTGGCATTGGAAAGCAGCACTCAGAAGAGGGAGCGCCACTGGGCAGCTCCAACGAGCCAGGTGTAAGAGTTGAAACGCCTGAACCTGCCCCACGGAGCGGAGGTGCTTTCCGGGAAAGATGGACCAGCAAGTTTCCGCGGAGTCAGTTCAGTCCTGGTGTACTGAACCCCTGCCACGGGTAAGCAGGGGAAGGACCGCAGGGCGAGCTTCGGAAAAGAAGGCTAAGGGAGGGAATGCGCCATTCTACTCGGGGGATACGCACTGCGGAGTGCGGCTCTGTGCACCCCAGAGCACGTCATCTCACACTCCGGGACCAGGCTAGCGACATCTCACTTCACCTCGCAGCCACGTCGTCGCCATGAGTCGCGCCGGGCCTGCAGCTGGCGCCTCCTCCCCTGCCCCGCAGGAGGTCGGATCAAGGGCAGCCTAGGGGCGGGGGCCAGGGATAGTTCGAAACACCCCATTTCGGGTCCAGCCTCACGTCACTGCGCCTCGCATCCCTCCTTCCTTCCCCGTCCTTTCTTCAGCACCTCCCTCCCCCGGCCGCCGCTTCCACCACACCCGACCCCTGTTCCTCACCTTGGGTGCCAACCTGCTCGCGGCGGCCCCGCAAGGAGCAAGGACCACAGAGCGCCTGCGCACAGTGCCCTCAGAAAACTACGATTCCCAGAAGGCCGCGGGAGCAGCGGAAAACCCGAGGCCCAGCCCGTTTTCGGAGGCCCCGCCCCCTAAGGTACCAAACGGGGTACACGAATACGTTCCTCAAAAGGTGGAAGGAGACATTTGGGGTAAAAATGAAGGGAAGCCGAAGGGTGAAGAACCAAAGCTGTCTCCTGGCCCTGTTCGCCTGCCCCAGGCGGATCCCTACCGTGGATGCCTCTGTTTTTATGCAGCTTTCTATCCAGTTCTTCAGGAGGATATTTGTAACCTCTGCTCTCCTCAGGCACCTGCTACTTCATCTTCTCCCTCACTTTCGGAATGGGGGTGGACCGGAAGAAGCATCAGAGAGAATTCCCATACTTGCCTGTAATCAGATGTAAAAATTTGCCTTTCTTACGTCCATCCTACAGCCTCTCCAATTATAACAATAAAAAAGAGCTACACTGGGGCTTTGCAATTCTATGTTAATATTAGGCTTAAGCAAGTTGGGGAAGAATTTTCTGTCGCCTGTACCTGAAGGCATCCTGATACGTGTTCACATCTCTCACATTTTAAAAGAAGTATTCGCTTAGTCTTACTTCCCCCTCCAACTACCAATCTTGACCTCTCCTTCTTCTCAAAGCCAAATTACTCAGCACTGAGGATATTTTCTATTTCTACCTTCCATTCCCCCCACTCATTCCTTAATCAAATTCATTCCAATATGGCTTTGGCGCCACCATCCAAGTTACTGACAAACACGGGGGCGGGGGGGAGGGAACGCTAACGCTTTGTCTCCCCCCGCAACCATGGTGAAAAAATTTAGATTTAGCGAGCTGGACTCAGTTTAGATGGTCCCAATTTTCTTGGCAACATCCAAAGCATCATGGGCAGGAGCCAGTTGAACGCATGCTTTCTTCTCTCCTTCGGTCCTGATCAGGGTGTTGACCTTGGCTCTGCCAATGTCATAGAGCTTCTTCACGGCCTGTTTGATCTGGTGCTTATTGGCCTTGACATCCACAATGAACACAACTGTGTTGTTGTCTGATATTTTCTTCATGGCTGACTCCATAGTCGGGGGAATTGATGATGGCATAGTGGTTAAACTTGTTTCTCCTGGGGGTGCTCTTTGGAGGGTATTTGGGCTGCCTTCGGAGACACAGTGTCTTGGGCTGTGGGAATGTAGGTGACTTGCGGATCTTTTCTTTGTGACTGTGGATACCCCAGCACGGCTTTCTTGGCCTTCAAAGCCTTTGCTTTGGCTTCTGCTTTGGGAGGGGCAGGGTTTTCCTTCTTTGCCTTTGGTGCCATCTTCGTGAAAAGGCTAAGGCTTTGTCTTTCTTGACCACTTGGCAACATTGAATACTTTTTACTATTCTTTTTCTTGAAAGTCTTTCCTGTGACCCTGCTCTCACCTAGTGGTTCTCTTACCTCCCTATCCTCTTCTATTCACTCTCCTTTTATGGGCTCTTCCTCTCTTCATGCCCGTTTAATTTCAGTGTTCTTCAAGGACCTATCCTAGATCCTAGTCTCTTCCTACCTACACTTTGATAAGCTATTTCCCACCACTCATATGGTTTCAGATATCCATATATCTGAGATTACTCTTTTTAACTTCAGTCTTACCTACAGAACATTTCCACATATGTCTGGATATTTCACAAGCATCTCAAGCTCAATATATTCAATTGAGCTCACTCTCTATTGGGTACACTACCTCATCTTCTCTTGGCCCAAATTTTACCCCAGCCATGCTGCAGCAAATACATTTGCACAAACATAATCAGATAAACCCTCCCTTCAGTTGTACCCCACCCTTGTCACTTTCCTCCCTGGAGTTAGTCTCTGACTTTGCCATGGGGGATGGCTACAGAAACCTTGGGTGTTCACGCAGCAACACTTAACCAACAGGGGATGGGAGCCAGTAGATAAATGCTCCGCACTTCAGGGGCAGACAATTCCGAGGCTCATTCAACATGACTCACAGGTCCCAGTGGGATTGAGCCTCAGGTGCCCAGGGCAGTGACTAACTTGATTACATGCTATTTATTGGCTTTTTCTTCTTCTCTTTTTAACAGATACTGTCATTAATATGATGAATAATTTCATTATTTTAATGATTTAAATCTTGCTTTATCAAATTATGGTATAATGCAAACAAAAAAATCTCAGTGGCAGGCCAGTAAAAGTAAATTGCTAGTGTGTTAGGTGAAATTAAATTTACACTGCTATTGGTGGATCAACTTAATGGGTACAGAAAAGAATGTGTTAACTAGATCAGTGTCTGCATATCAGTCAAAGGGCAACTTACAGCTACCTTCCAATGTAGAAACAAGGTGAAGCACAGAAGTAGCTACAGTTGACTCCATTTCATTAGCTTTTCTGTATTATCAGAGATAGTTAACTTCCAGGATCTAGCTTTTTGACCAGACAAATCAAGGAATCAGAAAGGAAATGGTGGGACAAAGCACTCCCAGGTCCTCCAACTTTATCATCATGGCTGTAATTTTTCTGACTGTTTTATATTGACAATTTTGGGGTGGTGGGGGAGCTCTAGTGGCTTCTACTGGGCACATCCATCGCCAGCACCCATTCGTGCTTTGCACATTCTAACAGAACATCCTCCTCCCTCCAGAATCATAATAAATGGATTCTAATATCCTGCTCAGAAAAGGTGAAATGATCACACAAAGTATCTTTTATCTTTCACTAACTGGCAACCTTAGATACTTCCTCCTCCATATCCTGGTTGGGCTGTTAAAGGTTCATACATAATGTCTCTTCCCCACCTGAGATAATAAAAGATCCAACTCAAAGAGAACAAAGGAGTCAGGCACACAGAGATCAGAGCAGCTGTTTTGAGATCTGTTAAAAATGTGTCTGAGGGATGGTAACAACAGGCTTCCCAGGCTTGGACACCACTTAACCTACTGGAAGCAGAAGACTGCCTTCTACAGGTGCAGAGAGCTTGCCACATGACCAGAAGCAAGCATCCCTCCAACATCTCCAATGATCAAAATAATCCCTTTATCTTTTCCCTCTAAAAGCTCCAGATGGCTATCCAAAACTGTGCTGTTCAATACAGCTAGCCACAGGTGGCTACTGAGCACTTGAAATGTGGCTAGTCTGAATTTGCGATGTGCTCTAAATACAAAGTAGTTGAAGATTTAGTTTTTTAAAAAAGGATGTAGGGTATCTCAATAATTTTTATATTGATTACATGTTGAAATAACATTGCATGAGATTTTTAAATATTTGAATTAAATTCAAATATTGAACGATTAAAATTCCACCAGTTTCATTTTCAATTTTAAAAATATGGCATACTTCCAATTTGACCAGTTTCTGATTCCAAGATTTGATACTCCTAATGATCACTTGGTGAAGCTAAAACCTCAAAATTTGGGAATCTGGGTGACTCAGTTAGTTAAGCGACTGCCTTGGGCTCAGGTCCTGATCCTGGAGTCCCAGGATCGAGTCCTGCATCAAGCTCCCTGCTCAGCAGGGAGTCTGCTTCTCCCTCTGGCCCTCCCCCCTCTCATGCTCTCTCTCTCAAATAAATAATCTTTAAAAAAGGGGGCGCCTGGGTGGCTCAGTCGTTAAGCATCTGCATTCAGCTCAGGTCACGATCTCAGGGTCCTGGGATCTAGCCCCGCAACAGGCTCCCTGCTCAGCGGGAAGCCTGCTTCTCCCTCTCCCACTCCCCCTGCTTGTGTTCCTGCTCTCGCTGTCTCTCTCTGTGTCAAATAAATAAAATCTTTAAAAAAAAAAACCCTCAAAATTTAAGATCTCCAGTACTGTATGCCCTCTTGGAAGATATCAGTTGAAAGGGAAAATGGCCCTTCCCTCAGAATTTTTAGTAGGAGGTGGAAGAGCACTTCACATTTTTAAAAATGCTCTGCAGATCACCAAATTTAAAAAGGGAACAAAGGGAAACTATCCTATTTATGTCCCCATTCTGTTTCACTTAACACAATACTCAAAACTCCATTAGTATTCTGAATTTGTTCTAGTCTCATCTTGCTGACAATGGCAGAATATCTTGGGGAAATACTTGATCCTCAATTTACTTTTAACGGGAATAAATTGAAGATTCAGAACTCTCAGATATAGTCATTGGTCAAAAGTTTGTCAATAGTCCCTTTTATTTTCTACTTGACATTATTAAATAATACCAGATATTATCCACTCTGATAGATTCTGCACTCTCTGAAGTGTTTTTCTTCAAGTTGCTTCAAAAGTTCACATGTGAATTCTTCCCTGTCACTCATCCACTTTAAGAAAGGTGGACAAATAGGGTTGTTAGATTTGCGGGGGAGGGGGGGGTTCTGTTTGGCAATCCAGCTTCTTGAATCTGACTTTACCTCTCAGGAGAAATGCATCTTGGTCCACTAGGATTCATGCAGGTAAGCTAAATTCCAGACAGCCTTTCAGAATCAAGTCCTCTTCCAGGCTTCACATCAAGCAACTAGGAAGGGAATGCAGATGCCTAGGGTTAAAGCTGCCTACTCCCTGACCTTTAATAAAATAAAAATATAGGGCTGGGCCCAGGGCATAGAAGAATTTAGAGAGTCAGAACTTAAAGTTCAGTGATGTGGAATCACATCAAGGCAGACCTTAAAAGTTCAGAGAAGCTTTCATTAAACAGGGAGATATTTTAGTTCTTGAGTAAGGCAATGATGAGCAGGAAGGGGTCATTTAGAAAGACTGGTCTAAGAGTAATGTGCAAAATGTCAGTAATGTGCAAAATGTAATTTGTGACAGAAGCTTTTGATGTTAACCATATATTGAAGTGCTTGTTTACTTTCCTAGCCTCTGGTGCTGGGTTCTGGTTTATGAGATGTGGACACAAGTGATGGCCCTTAAAAATATACTAAAATATCTTCCAGTTTTCTCTTTCATGATAACCTTAGAGGCAACATGTTCTAAATGATGAAGGTGGAGTAAGACAGACTGACTCACATCAGATTTTATGTGAGACATGAATCTTCAGTGGGGGGGTTACCAGAGCTCAGCATACCTCTGTTCAATAGTGAAGAGGGAAGAATTCAAATTAGGAAGTGACTACCACAGTAATGGGAGCCTGAGAGGATAAAGGTGTAGGGTAGACTGAAAATTCAGACACAGGATGGACATCCAAGAGGTGTTTTAAATAGAGAGAACTCAGTAAGTAGAAAAGTCATTAATTCAGATAAATATTTATTGAGCACCTATTATGTGCAAGGCACTGTGTGAGATGCAAAGACACATAAGTCACGCCTCCAAGTGCTTACAATCTAGTTGAGGAGATAATACATGTACATAAATTATTAAACTAACCATATACCATAATGGTTAAGAGAACAGACTTTGAAGGTAGACTTGTATTCAAGGATTAGCTTCACCTTTTACTAGCTGTGTCACTTTGGGCAAATTATTTAACACCTATAAACTTCAGTTTGCTTACCTGTAAAACGAGGATAGTAATAGTACCTACTTCTACTTCACAGGGTTGGTGAGAGGACCAAATAATCTACTCTTTCCCAAACTCTCTGCTGAGTGCTTACCCCAAAATAAGCACTCAGTAAGTGCTAACTAGTAGTAGGAGGAGGAGGAGGAGGAACCTAAAAGCTGGGACACAAAGAACAAGGTTGGTGCCCTAAAAAGCTCCCAGAGAAAGGGACACAGCAATAAAAAGAACTGTTCTGGAAACAACAGTGCTGCTCCAATTTTGCCTTCCCTCCTGTTCAAGCCTCCAGTTATTAAAGTGCAGTGATATCTGGGGCCTCAGACAAGAGGCGTGTCTGAGGATCACCTCCTAATATTTATCCTGTTGTCTGACAAACTTCCGCAAAATGTCGACCCTTTAGGGTCACATCCTAACTTCTGGCACCCCATGTCAGTTCTATAACACGGTAGGTAGAGAATGTTTATTCACACTGTGGTAGCAGAGATGAAAAAGGAGATTAGTAGTCAGAATAGGTAGAATGCTCAAAGGATGGATTTGCTTATGATGGGGAAGACCTATCTTGAGTTTCTATGGAGGTCCTTTGAGTAAAGCTTTCACCAACTCAATCTATTCCTTGTTTGGCGTAACGTCGTTGATGTTGAATAACAGACGATTTAGAACTGAACACTTTCCCACACACACTGCATTCAAAGGGTTTCTCTCCTGTATGCACTCTCTGATGTCGCGTAAGCCGGCATCTCTGGCTAAAGGCTTTCCCACATTCGGTACACTCATATGGCTTGTCTCCAGTGTGAATCTTCTGATGCTGTGTAAGGGATGAGCGGTCAAAGAAAGCTTTCCCACACTCACTGCACTGATAGTGCGGCTCTCCAGTGTGAGCTTTCTGATGTCTGTTCAGGGATGAGACACCATAGAAGGCTTTCCCACACTCATTACATTCATAAGGCTTCCTGCCAGTGTGGATGAGCTGATGTCGAGTAAGAATACTCTTCTGGCTAAAGGCTTTCCCACACTGATTACATTCATAAGGGCTTTCTCCGGTATGAATTCTCTGGTGTCGGGTAAGGGATGAACGGTCAAAGAAGGCTTTCCCACACTCGCTGCATTTAAAGGGCTTCTCTCCAGTATGAATTCGCTGATGGACAGTTAGGGACGACCGGTCGAAAAAGGCCTTCCCACACGCATTGCATTCGTAGGGGCTCTCCCCAGTGTGAGACATCAGATGTCTACTGAGACTGCTCCTGTGACTGAAGGCCTTCCCACACTCGTGACAGTCATAGGGCTTCTCTCCAGTGTGAGTCCTCTGATGGCGGATAAGGGATGAGTGGTCAAAAAAGGTCTTCCCACAGTGGCTGCATTCCTGGTCTCTCTCTTTAGTGAGAATTTTCTTGAGAGGGGTAGACCCTTGCTGCAAGCTTTCCTTCTGGGAAAGGGACTCCTTGCAGGTCTGGACGGCAGGGCTCTCCTTTCCTTCTTCCGACTCACCCTCCAGTGTCCCAAATTTAGGACACACAGGAACTTCTCCTCCAAGCTTTCCCCTCGCTGTTCCTTCTGATTCTTCTTCTGAAGCACCGTGAATCTCAGGCTTAGTCTCCCAGTCTGGAATGGACAGAAAATACAGTTGTAGTTTCTTTCCTGGGGTAGGAACTACTACAGCAGAAAGAAGAGATGCTACAATAAATTGGAACGGTAGTGTATGGTAACTGCCCCGCTTGCTCCCACAGACAGTTTTTTGCACTGGGAGAAGACTGAGACTTGGAAAGGGAACAGAACTGACAGTGGACAGCTCAGAAGAGAGGACTTTCCACTGGGCGCGTGGCCAGGATAATTAGGAGAATATGGTAAGCGGGGGGGACGGTGGGCAACAGGAATATCAAAGTGTGAATGGGCAACGTGACAGATCTGACAGAATAATAACATTTGGTGGATAAAGATGAGTAACACTTTCAGGTGTGTAGAAAAAAATGAAAGCGGTGGGTGACAGAGAATAAACACGAAAGCAGAAGATGTGAATGTGAGAAAAACATGGTACCCAAGCCTCCTTCCCACACACCCAAATAACAACCACAAAACAAAACTCTGCCCTGCCCTGTTCATACACAGTTACCTAGAGAGACATTCTCTGGACATTCTCTCTCCTCAGATCCATGAAGATCAACTATCCAAGGCTCATCCCCTCTCTTCAACTGAAAAATGACATCAGGTCGAGGAACTGGAAGTCCTGCTCAGGGAGAAAGAAACAAGCCAGGTATGTGATGAAAATACACAACTATTCCAAAGCTTAAACCCAACCTCCAAGTCTTTCTGAGAGAAAATGGAAAGGCAGAGGGTGCAAGCCAGGAATGCAGAGTACAAAGTAATGCAAAAGGATGAGGGAAGCTCAGAATGGAGGTCAAGACTGAGGTTCTAAAAAGGAACAAGTAGCACTTGGTCAAAAAGTTGATAAAATCCATTTGAATTGATGTGTTTATTTTCCCCGTTGAAGTGAATAGGATGTCATAGCTTTAGCACTGGTAGGATGGTGGGAAACAGTCCTTGGCTCAGGGAAGATAAGAATGAAAACAGATCATCTTGAGTGAAAAACGTGTAATTTTGTTTGTTGGTTTACCCTTTGGTATTAAGCTTTTATTTATACAAGTGGGTCATGTTCATTGTAGGAAAATTAGAGGTAAGTAGAAATAAAAAGAAAAATCACCTTTTGTACTTTGTATTCATTTTTTCTTTCTATTCATTTTGAAACTGAAAGATACCTATAGATACATTCTGTTAAAAACTGGGTTATAAAATAATGCTGACTTGTAAACTTGATTTTTTTTCACATAATAAACTTAAAATATTATTTTATTTCAATTAGCACAGATCTACATCACCACTTTAATGTCTACATGATGTTAATTGTATGGAATAATCTAATTTATTTAATCTCCTGCTGACAGACATTCAGACTGTTTTTACTGTTTTGCTATTAACAAACAATGATGTGATGAACATTTTTGTATACCCGGGGCTGCTGATCTTATTATTTGCTTGGGATGAATTTCTAAGTGAATCTATCCATTTTTGGTTATTTAAAGAAATAGAATCTATCCTAGAAGTAGTCTTGAAGTCTAAACTTCAACTTGCATTGGGGCCCCCAATTTGGGAAAGAGAAACACTTTCCTACTGGGCCCAGGGATCACCTATCTGCTTAAATGCTGACCATCTGCTGACAAATCGGCCACATCCATTGCCTCCCCATGGCTTCCTGTTTCTAATCTTAGGAATTCTATTTTCCCCTATATTTCATCCCACCAAAGTCTGTGACAAAGGCTCAGCAGTCTCCCTTAATGCTCCCTGAACATTCCATCCTGTTTTTCCTATTTGGCCTATTTAAATTCTTGACCTGCCTCATAGAAAATCTGCAGTGTGACTCCTTTGACTGCGACCTGCTGCTTATTTTACACCTGTTTCTGAATCTGCACACTCTCTCAGTCTCTTATTCTGGAAGCTCCTAGGAGGTTGTCATTATGTACAGGAGCCCAACCTTTACTTCTCATGAATATCTCACACCAGCATTCTTTTTCTTTTCTTTTCTTTTTTTTAAAGTAAGCTCTACACCCAGTGTGGGGCTTAAACTCACGACCCCGAGATCAAGAGTTGCATGCTCTACAGACTAAGCCGGCCAGGCACCTCCATCAGCAGTCATTCTTAATTTTCCTTTTGTCACACAAGTCTCTACAACAGCAAAGTGCCTTCTGCGGGCCTCTCTCTAACACCGCACTTAAGATAAATATTCAAAATCAAACTCATTTCTAGTGACCTACTCTGAGGCACAGCCTTGTATTTCTACACCCCTACTGCCCTCTTTTTAAAGGGAAACACTTCTCCCTCCCCTCGTCTCCTTCTCTGAGAAGAAATTTTCTCTCAACAAGATGGCGCCCTTAGTCCTCTGGATGGAGCTTAGTAGGTTACCTGACTGATGAGCTGGGGGAGGAAGAAACTGAACTTCTTCTGTTTGCCCCTTTCCCCTTTTGGAGAGTGGGTCCCCCGTATTGTAGGGACAGGCTGCTGAGCAAGGGAGGCTGGGGTTGTACAACCTGCCTATGGCTCAGGAAGCAAGTCTGTCCAATGCTGGGGTTCAGGATTAAGAAGCTCACCTAAGCCATATCCTTCTACTTTTCCATCTTGTCTCTTGGTGATTCAGAACTCAGGTGGGAGAAGAGGTATCATTTATTGGCCCCTCAACCCCCCATTAACACAGTACAGAGTCTGACCTCTTATGGGAAGTTCTCCTTACCCAATGAGACAATGCTCTTATAGTTTTCCAGCATCACCTCCTTGTAGAGGTCCCTCTGAATAGGGACTAGATGCCTCCACTCTTCATCTGTGAAAATCACGGCCACATCCTCGAATGTCACTGATTCCTGGAAACACAATCACATTGTCCCTTACTCATAACTCTTCTCTTTATATGGACCAGACAAAACAGTCATAAAGGTGACAGCCCTGCGGTTGCGGAAGGAGGGGAAGCAAAATGGTTCTGATAAAGTAGGGCTTCGAAGCACTTGGGGTAAGTGGCATAATTCCCTGAGGCATGAAGTTCTTGGTCATAATCCTTATATTCACAGCTGAGCCTGTGAATGTCAGGGGCTCTTTTTTCATACTTACAGATAATTTGCAAGACCAGAACAGAGAAAGCCTATGTACACCCTTCACCCAGCTTCCCCAAATGTTAACATTTTCCACATTTGCTTTATCTTTTTGTCTCTCTCAGTATATACACGTTATCCTCTTTTTCAACTTCTTCAGAGTGACCTGCAAACATGATGCCTCTTTACTCATATTTTATGCAATTTTATAAAAACAAGGATATTCTCTTATATAATCACAGTATAGTAATGAAAGTCAAGAAAATATCATTGATATTATACTATAATCTACAACCTTATTTGAATTCCACCCATTATCTGGGTTTTTTTTTTACAAATCCTTAAAATGATGGTGTTGATTAGGTTGTCCTTTGGATCCCCTCATTTCATGCTAATGCTTTGTGATTGTATAAGACTGCATCTTTACCCCCAATCCTAAAACCCCAGATGAGTCTCCAGTGTGCTTGCTGAAGTTATAAGTCAGAGCATAGAATTCAAGACTCCGGGTCCATAGGCAGGAATGGGACAAGCCCCATGTCTCTACCCACACTCATCTCTCTTCGGGACTCTTACCACCTCACTGTGGGGCTCTTCAGCAAGTGTCATGTTCCCCAGCCTAATCCAACACTTCCTGGAATACTTGGGGTCCGCTCTCAGAGGGATGCACTTTTGTGGGATCTGCTCTCAGAGAGATGCACTGAAGGGAAGTCAGGACTAGAACTGTTCCCCAAACCATCCAAGCTGACCTGTACCATCATTTTTTTAGGCAAAAGCTCTCAGAGCCAAGGCCACAGTGGCCATGTGCCTGGTGACAAGCTAATGGGCACATATTCAGGGCAAGAAACGGTCACTGATGGATACCACAAGTCAAATGGGAAAGATGCATTCCCTCCGAAGCCCTTCATTCACCTGGCTAGGTTTGACTGAAGAAGCTTCCGGATAGAGAGAGAAAAGTGGTTGCAATCTGGAGACTCACAGAGTATTTCAGACACACAAAGTCCACCTCACCTGGCACCTGGCAGTCGGAGACACAGCAGCCATTCCTCCTGTGTGCTCTCCTTGTAGAAAAGGGCAGAGTCCTAATGAAGAAGAGGTGTGGGATGGGAAAGACGGTATGAGAAAGACCAATCTTAGACGGTTTGTAGTTTTCCGACCCATAAAGCAAGAAATCTCCAAATACCAGTGAGTTATATACTCATTCTTTTTCTTAATACCCTACAAAAAGGGAAGGCAAAGCAAAGCAAGGCCAAGAGCAACACCACCCCAACCCAGAATTGGAATGAAAGGCCATGGATATTGCTAGTCAGGACACAAGGGGGTGCTGGTTTGACCATGATCCCAGAGGAAGAGTTCTGTTCCTGGGAATCAAGAACATATGAAGCTTATACTATAAGTTCACATTCAATATTGCCCTGATGTTACCAGATAAAAAGTCTAAGAAATCTTATAAATGACTATATGGAAAGACATGTCAAGTAAATACCCATAGCCTCTTTTTTTTTTTTTAAGATTTTTATTTATTTGTTTGCTAGACAGAGAGTGAGAGAGAGTACAAGCAGGAGTGGCAGGCAAAGGGAGAAGCAGGCTCCCTGTTGAGCAAGGAGCCTGATGCGGGACTCAATCCCAGGACCCTGGATCATGACCTGAGCCGAAGGCAGATGCTTAGCCGACTGAGTCACCCAGGCGTCCCACCCATAGCCTCTTTAAGGGAAAAATACCCCATTTGCAACCCTGTGCTAAAGGAGTAGCCATTGGGCAGCCATGTTTTGTTCCATGTGATGCTGTGTCTCATTCCTGGAGCCACACTGATGTAGGCCTCAGGTAGTAGACTGAGATCTGATCTAGCTTGAAAAGGTGAATATAAACTAAGAAATGTTAGGACAACAGGTGGGCGATGAGCTGAAAAGAATATCATGAGGGATGGAAGTAGCCATGAGGATCAGGGGAGCCAAAGTTACCAGGAAGCAGAACCCATGAGTCTGTGGAAGGCATGACCTGATAAAACTAGACACAGGTTGTGGGGAAGAAGAGCCTGGTCACATTAGTGGTGAAGCACTGGAGCAAAGACCTAAGAGTTTTTTACTGGCTTTGACGTCCCTCAATTCATGCAGTACCACCCCTGGGCTCCAATCTGCATTTAGACCAGTCTTATTTATTCTTGGATTGCTGTAACACTCTAACCTTCTTAGGCTTGGGATGAATCCTATCACTAAACTCCCTTTATTTGAGTTAGATGAGTAGGTCTCAGTTTCCCACAGTCAAGAGTCTAATTAAACACAGTTAAGTCAAGCACTTCCAGGAGTCATGAGTGGGACGGGAAGTGTGGTCCCAAGGAAGGATGAGGCAAAGAGGTGGCTCACTGATTACTCTCCTGCAGTCAAGGGGATATGGGTATTGATCCTTACTATTCACTCATCCTTCTATCCAACCAACATCTATTCAGCACCAACTATTTATACCAAACACAAAAACTTTAGGACACTATCCTTGTCCCCCAAAAGCTTATAGCTTAGAACATAGGACAAACAAGTAACCCAAATAATGTGTCACTATAGGATGGATCCGTACTATAAAGAGATACCCATAACAAACTATGAAAGCCCATCAGAGGCTTGCCTCACCCACATAGGAGGCTGTAGATTCCTTGGCAGAAATGGGATGTAAGGTAAGTTTTGATTTGGGAGAGGAGGTGGAACATTCTGGGCAGGAAAAATACCAAGTTTTTCAAAAACAAGGAGGCAGGTCTTTACATGGACAAGATTAACAACTGTAACTAGTTTAGAATGGCAGAGGTCTAGGCTGTGAGCAGTGCTGTGGCAAAGTAGACAGAGACCAGCTAGATCAAGGACAGCTTTGTATGGTTCCATATATGGAAGAGGGACTACAGGCAAGGAGATCACTGAAGAATTTAAACATGGAAGTATTATCATCAGATTTGTGTTTTTGAAAGATCATTGCAATTTGTAAAAAGGGCCTTGGAATACACATATTCTGGCTCAGCAAATCTTTCCTAGGAGTTTGTCCTAAGGAAATAAGTGAGAATATCCTTAGTCATCATTAACACTAACCTTTATTGAGCACTACATGTGGTAACTTTTTAAGCACTTTACATGTATTATCTCATGTAATCCTTACAGTACAGGAAAAATTTGAAATACCCTATGTTTCTAAAACAGGAGATATGATTAAATAATTTGCAATCTAGCCCATCCATACACTGTAATACCATTTAATATCATATTAATAATAACTAGCATTTATTGAGTATTTGCTACTTACCAGGCACTGTGCTAAGCACTCTTATTTTTTTTTTTAAAGATTTTATTTATTTATTTGAGAGAGAGAGATAGAATGAGAGATAGAAAGCACGAGAGGGAAAGAGGGTCAGAGGGAGAAGCAGACTCTCTGCTGAGCAGGAAGCCCGATGTGGGACTCTAATAAGGTTTTTTTTTTTAAGATTTTATTTATTTGAGGGGCGCCTGGGTGGCTCAGTCGTTAAGCGTCTGCCTTCGGCTCAGGTCATGTTCCCAGGGTCCTGGGATCAAGCCCTGTTCGGGCTCCCTGCTCGGTGGGAAGCCTGCTTCTCCCTCTCCCACTCCCCCTGCTTGTGTTCCCTCTCTCGCTGTGTTCCCTCTCTCGCTGTGTCTCTCTCTGTCAAATAAATAAAATCTTTAAATAAAAAAGATTTTATTTATTTGAGAGAGAGAAAGCACACAAGCAGGGGGAGGAGCAGAGAGGGAAGGACAAGCGGACTCCCTGATGAGCAGGGAGCCTGACATGGAGCTTGATCCAGTGACTCTTAGATCATGACCTGAGCTGAAATCAACAGGCAGACGCTTAATTGACTAAGCCAACCAGGTGTCCCAACTAAGCACTCTTTCTCAGGATAATTTAATTCCATATTCACAAATCAATAAGGTAGGTACTATTTAATTAATTTTTAAAGATTTTATTTTATTTATTTGAGGGAGAGAGTGAGGGAGAGAGAGCACAAGCTGGGGAGAGGCAGAGGGAGAGAGAGAAGCAGACTCCCCGCTGAGCAGGGCACCCGATGTGGGGCTCAATCCCAGGATGGTACTATTTAACAGATTAGGAAAGTTAAGGTTAAAAGAAGCTGAGGTAGAATTTGAACCCAGGTCTGTCAATCAGTTTTTTAACCTCTATGCTATAATGTCATTTTTATTTTCATGAAAAAATAGGCACACAGATAATAGACCAACAGACTAGAATAAAAAATCCCCCAACATATCCAAACATGTAGGGAAACTTGATATACAACTGAGCTGGCATTACGAATCACTGAGGAAAAGATCACTAGTGATAAACTGCAAACAACTTAAATGTTCCTCAGAAGGATAAATTGTTATTTTATGTGTGTGAACTTATGTGTATTGGTATACATTAAGATGAATGAAGTAGAGTCTTGTGTTAATAATAAATCACAAAAATTACTGAGCAAAAAATAAGAAAGTTTTAGAATTACTGTATAATATCTATATAAAACTTAAAAACAAGGCACCAGGATGGCTCAGTTGGTTAAGCCTCTGACTCTTGATTTTGGCTCAGGTCATGATCTTAGATGATCTCAGGGTCATGAGGTTGAGCCCTGCATCAGGCTCCACACTCAGTGGGGAGTCTGCTTGAGATTCTCTCTCTCCCTCTGCTCCTCCCTACCAAGCTCACGCTCTTTCTCTCTCTCTCAAATAAATATATCTTAAAAAAAAAAACAACTTAAAAACAGGTAAATAATATCTACAAAAATCCATATGGGACAGTAAGTACCAAATTGTGAGTTATCTCTGGGAAGGGAGGGATATGGAATTGGGACAGATAACCAGAAGAGTTCAACTTTGTGATGTTTTATTATAAAAATTTTTTTAAACAAATTCACAAATATTAAGTGAAGAATGCATACTTAAAATTACTTATTTGTGTATGCATATATGTATAGAAAAAAGACCAAAAGAATATATATTAAAATGTAAGTGGAATTTGAGTGGTGGCATTACAAGTGGTTTTATTCTATTTCTTATAATTCTTTATACCCTGATTTTTGTTTTTATGAGTATGTATTTACTTTGGTGTACAGGAAAAATAACAGGAAGGAATGGGGGTATACAGAAAAGTTACAGCAGATCCAAGACAGCTATTCTTAGAAAGTTCTACTTGCCACGTTGGTCCTTGGCTGGGGTCTGGGAACTTTGATTTTGGAAGGGTTCCCTAAGAAAGAAGGGTGGTCCATTATGCCTCAACTATTTGAGCAAACAATGTGATTTATGCTGAACACTTGCTTTCCTGCTAGAGGGTCTAGAATTTTGGAATGTGTAAGGCAGAGGGTGCCTACCTAACCAGCCCTCAGTAAAAAAATCTTGGGCTCTGAGTCTCTAATGAGCTTTTGTGAGCTGGAACATCACACACATGTTGTTGCATTTTCATTGCTGGAGATGATGTGTATGGTGGGACCCCTCATGGCGGGGAGAGAGCACAGGAAAGCCTGCATATGGGTTTCTCCAGACTCTGTCTCTTCCCCATATGACCTAGCTGTACATCCTTGCAAGATCACAGTCATAATCTTAGCCATGAGTGCAACTATAGGCTGAGCCCCACGTCCTTCCAGCAAATCCCTGAATGTGGGGTGATCTTGGGGACCTCCGACACAGGCAGCCATGCCATTCTGGGTGGCTATAGCAGAATGGGACTAGAGGAGGGCAAGAATGGAGGTGAGGAGACCAGTGAGGAATCTCATAATTAAATAAGGAAAAATGATGAAAACTGCAAAAGTAATGGCAGCAGAAATGGACAGAAGGGGAACTACTGTCAAGACATGAAGAACAGGGACGTCTGGGTGGCTCAGTGGGTTAAGCATCTGCCTTGGGCTTAGATCATGATCCCAGGGTCCTAGGATTGAGTCCTGCATCAGGCTCCTTGCTCATCGGGGAGCCTGCTTCTTCCTCTGCCTGCAGCTCCCCCTGCTTGTGCTCTCTCTCTGATAAATAAATAAAAACATCTTAAAAAAAAAAAAAAAGAAGAAGAAGAACAGA